TCAATTGTCTTTTTACTGGTAGGAAGAGGTAATTTTTATGGCAACTTTAACATAGCAAAATCTAAATATTCATACTGTGTTTAGCATCAGGGAGCCCGTGTCTAAATTTGGACTTGTAGGCATGATTGCAATATGGAAGTTAATACACTTGATCTGAGCCTTCAAGAGGCCGAGAACAAACCAAATCCCACAAACTTCAACTGACAAGTCTGGGCTTGGTGAATGAGACACTCCAAAAGTTAGAGGAGGAAAATATCTTTTAACTTATCTCTGGGGTTCAGTAGATACACATAGTTTTGCTTTCCTCTTTCCTCCCCCAAATCATGGTAGGCAGAAAATATGTTGTCACATTATCAAATCAGGTCTATCGAATCTCATCCACCCTTGCACATTAGAACTAAATTGGTTCTTCCATATCTTGGAAGCCCCTTTGCACATAGAATACGGTCTTGGACCTGCTATGCAATATGTAAATTAATTTTTAAACTCAGTAGTGATTATGGAGCAATCATAGCTGTCCCTTTGTTGAGGCTGAACTTAGTTTCCCACTAAACTAAGTACTGAGCACTGAGGTAGAAGTTAGCTTATGTCTTAAAGCTTGATGATGTGCATCTCTTCCAGACTCTGTCAGGGCCATCTATTAGGAATTTAACTGTGTTCACTTTTCTCAGAATTTTAACTAAGAATTTTGGCGTCCCGGGCTGGGAGTGGAGGTTGAGGTTGGGGTTCTGCATGTGAGAGAACTGTGGGGAAAGGAGTGCCAAGTGTTTCCTTCTTGCACAGAAGTGGCTGCAGATTGTTGCTGCCTCAGCACAAGCTCCCCAAGCACATCATGGGCAGCAGTACCAGCAGCTTGTGCTCCCTGGGGGCTGTCATTCTGGCACACCCCTCTCAATTGGCATCTACGGCTGCTGCCACATTCACCCACCTCTGGTTATACTACTGCCTTTTCTTTCTTGCTGCTTTTTATGACTTAGTCTTAGAGCTAAGATAATGGCATGTAACAAATGTAGACACATTGGGCGCATCCAGATGAGTGCACACATGCAGTATGCCATACATGGGCACATGCCATATGTGCAGGCATTCCCCTTGCTGCTAATTTGCAGCATGTGGGATTTTTTTGACACTGGGCAATCCCAGTGTCAAAACAATCTGCTCTAGAAAAAAGTGGGGCAGCGCATGTGGCATCAGCAGGCACTGCCCAAAACTGGAGCCTGGCTGGCTGGAGTCACTCTCTGGCTGCTGGTCAGGGTCCTTGTTCCTGGATTGCTGCCAGGAGGCCCCAGGACTCCAGGTAAGTCTGCAGGGGCCAGCTCAGGTGATGGCCCCAGTCTCCCCTACCCCACCCAGGGCTACTTGCCATGTGTCAGTGCATGCATGAATGGGTGCTCCTGAGGGACAAGTAGCAGTGGCACAATTATGGGGAAACGTATGTGTGCGCTCATCTGGACACACTTATTAAGGTTTTCAGGGACTCAAGCTGAATAGACACATAATAGGTGGAATAGGACCTGGCTGTTGACTTTTAAATGCTTACTGCAAATGCATATTATTCATATAAATGTGACAAAGCAAATCAACAAGCAATGGCAAGGTTGGGTGGGCAAAATAAGGAGATAATGGGCGATGAAAGACTGTGTGGAAAAAGGCAAGCTGACTGGCTTCCTGGAGTATGTCTTTCCAGAGTTTCTAATAGCTGACCAAGTAATTTTTTGTTTGTAGATTTACCATAGAGAGATTATATTTTTCTGTTTTTAAACTGAACACCGCTGAGACACATTTTCCACATGAATGCTCTTTAAATTAGATTTTAATTTTTGTGAAAATATGGAAAAGACAAAATTCAATTTGATGCCAGTTCATATAATGCAAAGGAGACAGGGCGCAAGCTTGAACTTGTTCTAAGCCAAGTAATATTAGACTGTTATCTTGTCATTAAGAATTGCTTTGAGTCTATCTGTTCAGCAACTCTAATTAATGATCATTTAACTGTACTGTCAGTCCTGTTTAAATGTGAGTGTTGCCAGTTGCTTCCTTCATCTCACCAGCCAATAGGAACTGAGGGAGTCATTCATGCATACCATTGTCCTAGTGGCTCTGGGCCTATAACATCCCAGTTTAATAGGGCATTCAGAGCTCATTAGTGAGGAAACACATCAGGAGTGACCGCTCCAGTGCCACACGTTGCGGCTAATAGCCTTGCCGAACAGAATCGTTTCTGTTTCTGCTCACTTGTTTTTGAATCCTTTCAATGTCAACAAGTGGTCATGTCGGCAGGAGCCCGCCATTCTGCCCAACAGTTTTATCCGTTGCTCTCCTGAGCCAGACTTGTGTCCTCCTCCATTGTCTAACCCACAATGGAGCCTGAGCAATCACAAAGGCTTCACAGCCATTCATCATCAGCTCACAAATTCTGTGGGCAAGATTACCCGCCAAACTTTTGGGACATCGTGTTGGCATAATGTGTGAATACCCATGAAATACAAATAGTTTCTGAAGTTTACACTTTTGTTTCAAATGCATGGAGGGGGAAAATAAAACCTGACATAGCTCTGGCTAGAAAGAAAGTAAGATTCTATAGAAGAGGGTTAAGAAACAATGACAGAGCAATTGGAATGAGAGGTGTAGTGAGCAGTGGATAAATGCCCTTGGAAAAAATGGCACAAGGGAAAGCGGAGGTAGGAGGAGGGAAGGTGTAATAATGCTTTTGGCTGAGAAGCCTCTTTTTGGAAATGTTCCCCCTGCCACGAGAGGAAGCACAGACAGCCCTTGTGTTGTTCAGTTCCACGAGGCACAGGCCCCTCCAGATCCCTTCCCCTATTTCTATTCATGCTATTACTTAATAAGTCTTTTGTGGTTATTGGAAACTTAACTGGTAAAAGGCTTATTCAGAAATACATTAGTGTTGTTTAGTTTTTGCATTATAGTAGCACTTAGGCCCCATTATGTTAGGCACTGTGCAAATACGAACTAAGGGACAGCCCTGTCCCAAAAACTTGAATAGAAAAGACAGACAAATTTGGGAGAAAAAGAGCATTGATTTCCCTACTTTATACCTGATAAATTAAGGCACAGGGATTAAATGAATTGTCCATGATCATGCAGATCAGTGGCAGAGCCAGGATTTAATGTTATGTCTTCTGTGTCCCAACTCAGTGTCTTGCCAGCAAGACCATCCTCCCTCCCTCAGTCTATAGTCTAAGGGATTCTATTGAATCCTGAAAGACTAAGGGCTTTTCTGCTATGGGGAGTTAGTATGTTGTATGTATGGGCATACCTACATTAGACATTTACTGTGGAGCTGACTAATTAGCTCTGCAATAAGGTCTCAGTGTCTACATGTGTGGCCCTATTAGGGTGCAGTAAACTAATAAACACCACCATAGAATAGTACTTGTCAATACAACTGCTATCCTATGGCAGTGTTATTTAGTGTGCTACAACACGTGTAGACAATGATGGGGCTGGGTGGGACACAAAAGCGCTTCAGTGCATTTGCTGCCTGCTGGCTAGACTCACACTGGAGCACCCTTGTGCCCCAGCAAACCCCTCTACAGCCCATTGAGCCAAGTCAAAACAGCTCCAGGCTCCCAGGACTCCTGCCAGTTGGAGCTACTTTGAACTGGTACAATGTACTGCAGTCCCAGGTGCATGTGCAAATGTGGTGCTGAGGAGCAATAAACTTTGGCGTGAATTGCTCTGGAGTTTATTGCTTCACATCAATAGCATGTGAAAATGCACCTTGTTAGTGTGAATTTATAGAGCCTTAGCTACAGCGTATTAATTTCCTCTGTAGATGTGGTTAGTACAAAGAGCAGCTCTGTGCAGTGTGGCTTATTCTGCTTTGAAAGTTGCATTAATCCATTATTTGCAAATAGATTATTGCCACATGGAACCACTGTTAGTGCGTGCTATTTAATTTATTAACTTTGTATGCTTACATGCTATGTTGAATAGGGACTGAGGAGTCGCAAGCTGAGCATAGAAGCTTCTGAATTTTAAGAAGATTGTTGCCATTTGGGATACACAGGACTGACTGAAACACCTCATCTCCCTGTACACTATCTGGGGAGAGTTGGGCGTCTTGGAATGGGACTCAGAAGAGCCAGGATGTTGAGCAGGAAGTCATCTGAGTTAGGAAAGGAAAGGCTTCCTTTTTCTCTTTGCTGCAGGGCTTGGTCTAGTATGCATTTTTGAAGAACCCCAACTCATCAGGGCCTGCAGATGAGAAAGGAGGAAGAATGCTAGTTTGTGAGCCCTGACAAGGTTCACAAACCTTAGGGGTGAACTAGGTGCCTAGCCACTGAGCTTTGTGAGGTTCTCCACAAGCACAGCACAGACATTTAGAGGTCTTGGGAGTTTTGCTGGTGGAACCATAAGCATCTTTGGGACTTCAGGTGCCTCTAGGGCTAGATGGCAACTGAATGAGGATTTTGAGGATCTAGATTTTGAACACGGGTGCCTAAAATGGCAGTTAGGTGCCTAAGTCACTTTGCAGACTTAGCTGTTAGTGTACATGCACAATGTACCCAATGGATCTCGGAACAGGATTTGGCATTGAGTCTTGTTCTGTTGTCAGTTACCTATGCCACTCCCACTTACTATATTGGGAGTGATGAGCATGTGTTTGTGGTCTGCAAATACATAATTTTGTCCTCAGTCTCTAAAGCACTTACTGGAAGAGGAAGCTGATTAAGTCACTCCACAATCAAAGAAGTAGATTCTGAACTTGTTATTAACTAGACTTGGGCATAACCTTGAGATTGTGACTTAAAATTTGGGGGAGGGGTGTACACATTCATATATTTTACTTCAGGATTGTCTGTGATGATATGTGAAAGCAAAAATATATAGAAAATCAAATAGAATGTGATATTGATTTAATTTTTTTGAAAGAGCAATAGGTAGCTTAGAGCACATCAGAAAGAAAGGAAAATGTAGTATATAACATTTGCTTTTCTTTTTTTGTTTTTGTTTCCATTGATGATATTGTGCAGCAATTTTATGAAATCATTGATTGGTCGCATGGATTTTAAGGCCCTGGAATTGAAAATATACAAAGCTAAGGTAAGCTTACAATTTGACTATTCTTTAAAAATATCCATTCTTTGTTAGGTTGTCACCCTAGATTTGCTATAAAATTTTGCTGCTGAATTTGAGAGTCATATTAGATAGATGGATAGATAGTATTACATAGTTATGTAAGTATCTAAGCCTGGGTGCTTAGATACTTACCTATACCTGTGAGTAAACCTCTTGAATTCATTGGGACTGTTCATTTGCTTAAAATTAAGCATAAGCAGAAGTGCTTTACTAAACAGACACCAGGACACTCATCATCTTGAAGGAACAAGCCCAAAGCTATGCACAAACTTTTTGGAAGTGGAACTCCCCTGTGGGCATATCACGGAGGTATATGTTAAAGTCAATAGATATGGATATTTCACAGGACGTGTCATCTTCATTTACTTTTTTAATGTTTCCTTTTGTTTCATAGCTTTAAAACATCCATCTCAATGTAGAATATTCTACCAACTACCATACATGACGGAACTTCTGCTCCTTTAACAATTTAAAACAAGTAGAAAAGTATTAAAAGATACCATGTAAGGAAGAAGCCTGAACTGGCAAAGTGAAGCATCAGTAACTGAGCAGCTCTTATCTATCTTAGAAACATAAGTGGTGCCCCCTCAACACCATGCTGTCAGAATATCTCACAGGCATTCATGGCTGTCTGCTCAACATCCATCATGTAAAGTATTGTTATCTTCATTTTATAGATGGAGAAATCATGACATGGTGAGGCTAAGTGATTTGCCCATGGGCTCACAAGTAGTTTTTGGTTTGCCAGGATATTAAACTAGTTCTAAGTTAGTGCCTTGACCGCTAGACCCATCTTAGAGAACATAAAAGCCCTTAAATTTTTGTAATTGTATACAAACAAAATCACATTAAAAGAATGTGTTGGAGTGGTGATAGTCCAGGAAATATTCAAGGGGCAAGGATTTTTGTGGGTGATCTCTTTTCCTGGACTAGCTACATGCTTGGGATAAACTCAGACATGGTTTTGAATGTAATGTCTTCAGCTCTGAGGGAAAAACACATATAGCAAAAGATTGAAAACAGTTTGCTGGGCTGTGAAATTAGAAAGGAGAGAAGTCCCCAGAGGTAACAGACAAACAAAACACAGAAGAAAGGATAGCTTGATTAGTGGAAAATCAAGGCCTTTCAAAAGGGAAGTGGATCATTATCACCTGCAGTGTGAATAATGTTTTAGGCACATACATACATAAAAATGAGAAAATGACAGAACCAGAATTCCTCATGAGACCAGTCTTCTTGTGCATATGTATTAACAAATCACTTTAATTAATTGATAACAAAATATATTTTCATAAGGGACTCCTGTCTAGAGCTGGGATAGCAAATAGTTTTCCCATCCTGTCCAAATTCCTGAGTTTTCAAACCCATTTTTCATTTTTTTTTATCAGGTTAATCCCAAAAAATCTTTATAATTTTTTCAGGGTAGAAAACTAGGAGAAATACCTATCCCACAATAGTCCACTATATAGTGCAAGAGATCCAGCTGAGGTACCCTAAATCAAGGAGAACCCCATTCATCTTAAATGAATGCCCTAAAAACTGGCTGTTGCAGGGTAGGTACTTCTTTCTGTCAAGTTTTAGCTAGAGATTCCATCCTGAACCTAACAAGCCTTTCTGATAAAAGTTTCACTGAAAATAACAAAACTGCAGGTACAGCCAGTCAGCACTTTTCAATGAAAAATTGTTTTCTCAAAAAAAAAAAAAAATCCCAGCCAGCTTCAGTCCTACATCACTAAGAGTACAGGATGTGGACTGTACTCTGGGGATGAATTGGGATTGTTTAATTTAAAGAAATTGCTCGTCTTTAGGACTCCTGATTAATTTGTTAGAAACTTTGGAAGTGAATATGGCAGAGGATTTCTGAATTAAAAAGCAGGGTTTCATGATTAAGACAATTGATTGCTGCCCTTAGAGACATAGATTCTATCCCTGCCTCTGCCAAGGAGTTCCTATGTGGCACTAACTAGGTCAATTAAACCAAGCTTTGTACAGATGGCCACTAGTTATGTGTTCCTCATTTATGGCTGTCTATCCTGAGATTCAGGAGTCTAATTTGAAAAGAGCTGAACACTGATAACAGCTATAGAAGTCAATAGGAGTTGTACTTTGAACATATAACATGCTATATAATGCCAAATTATTTAGAAAACTAAGTCGTAAGCATCTCAAATCAAGCACCCGTAACTTGAGAGTTTTGACTTTAAACTCTAGGCCCCTATTCTCCATCTTTAAAATGGGGATAATATATTCCCTTACCTCCCAGGTGTGTTGTGAAAATAAATTCAGTGATGTATGTGAAGTACTTATACCACAGTAATGAGCACCATAGAAAAGCATATGAAAAATAATAATTCTGTCTTACGAGAAGGGTTTGAATGCCATGCAAGAAGGAAGGCTTGAGGCTACATAATGAATTCTGGAGATAAAAAACAAATATTGAACAGTTATTCATTCAGTGAGCACCATCTGTCTTTAGAACTGAATGTCACAGGCACCCTGTGGGAGAGAGAGTATGTGATATAACTGTAGAGCATCCAGAGTAGATAGTGCAGAGGAGAGCAACAAAAATGAAAAGAGGTCTAGAAGACATGACTGATGAGAAACGGTTGAAGGAATTGGGTTTATTTAGTTGAGGGAAGAAAAGACAAGACTGATGGAGGCATAAGTTGTTATAAAGAACACCATGATCAATTGTCTTCTGTATCCACTTAAGGTAGGAAAACAAGTACTCAATTTTAATTTACAACAGGAAAGATTTAGGGAGGCTGTGCCGTCTCCTTCGGTGAGGTTTTTTAAGAACAAGTTTGACAAACATTGGTCAGTTTTCGTCAAGGTAAACAGTTCTGCTTCAGAGCCCAGAAATAGACTGGACGACCTCTTGAGATCTGTTCCTTTGATTGTAGACCCCTTTGCATATTACATATTAATCATGGCATAAATGGCAAGGGTGCTACACAGGCATGCAATTTAAGGTGTCATAATATAACAAACCAGCCATAATAACATTCTACATACAATTGTATAATTATATGTTGAACATTTTCATGGCAGGTTTGTATGGCACCTTAAATTAAACTTCTAGCAGGTGAGGGCTAGGGCTGACAATCAGATGATTGTCAGCTCGGGCCAGGGACCCCACCAGAGTCTCAGATTAGCTCTGGTCTCTCTCTCTCTCTCTCTCTTCATATAGATAGCTAGATATGGATATATACTCTGTGTCAGTGTAACATGCATACCTTCACAGGGACAAGCCCAGGTACCATCTTGGTCACCCAAATTGAGGCAGAAAGATTCAGAGAGCCTGCAGGCCCCACAGAGATGGCAGGCTTGCCTTGGCACTGCTCAAGGGTACCTTTTGGCATTGCCTTCTGCAAGGGCAGAAGGTCTTCCTGTTATTGCCCTGTTTTTTTTTTTTAACATAATGTTTGTTTGTTGAGGAGGGGGGAATATTTATCTATTTTTGGGGAGAGCTACAAACTTTCTATAAGACAGAAAGGTGTAGACTTGGGATACAGGAATCCTTCCTAGCTATGAGGCTGGGAGTGGAAGTGGGTGGGCATAAGGAGTGTGGTGGAAGGAAGTGGGAAGAGGCTTCTTATACCTAGATGTGAATGAGGGTTGGGAAGGTAAGAAACATGACTGGGATAGGCTGGAAGGGTTGTTGTCCTGGACTGCAAGCAGGGAAGTAGGTGTGGGTAAGCTGAAATGGAGTTTTAAAGTTCTTGGGTGCCATTTGGGGAGTCTATTGGTATTTTTTATTTTGTGGGTTATCTTTTATTATAAGCTACCTTGAACCTTTCTAGGTAGGATGGGATATAAATAAAATCTAAATAATAATAGTAATATGCTTGCAAGTACATTTAGACCACATATTTGGTAGGGATTTCCATGCAATTTCCTTCTTGAGAACAATACAACTATTTGAAATAGATTTGGATTAAATCTTTGTTTTGTATATGTATATGCATGCTTGTATGTTTATATATAAAATACACATTTATGGAGGAGGGGTCTCTTTCTAAAGAGAGCATTTAGAGTTCCATGTCACATTAATGAAGAGGCTGGGTGCCTTGCTGCCCATTGTGTCATAGAAAATTCTCCCCCAGCAGAGTTGAAAATTTACATGAAAAAAATGGGGAAAATATTGGTTGGGGTGAAACCAGTAAATTTCTTGGCTATATGAGATAACGTAACTTTCCATCAATCCAAAACATTTTATTCAAGCCAGAATGATTATATTTTCTTTTGGGGGGAGTTATTTAACCCCTTTAAAACCTGTTACTTTTTTTTAATTTTAAGTCAATTTTGAAATGAAGTGTCAAAAATCTTCATTCTAAGTATGTCAAAATGAAATGTTGTCATTCTCCAAAATACCCCAATTTTTTATCAGAAACAATTTGCTGAAATCAGTCTCAATTCACATAATTTTGGTCCCTTCCAGACTTATTTTTGGTAGATTTCCCCAAGAACTACCCCTAATAAATGTCATAGAATAATAGAAAATTAGGGTTGGAAGTGACCGTAGGAGGTGTGTTGGGTCCAGGCTTTGGTCCTTGCCTCTTTCTGTCAGTATTTCCCAGTCTACTCCACCTCCTGCTTCTCTGCAGGAGAATTTGCACATGACACCAAGCTGCAGGGAGTAGTAGATATGCTGGAGGGTAGGGCTAGACAAATTGGATGATTGGACCAAAGGAAATCTCATAAGGTTCAACAAGAACAAGTGCAAAGTCCTGCACTTAGGATGGAACCACCCCGTGCACCAATACAGGCTGGGGGCTGACTGGCTGGGCAGCAGTTATGCAGAAAAGGACCTGGGGGTTATAGTGGACAATAAGCTGAATATGAGCCAGCAGTGTGCCCTTGTTGCCAAGAAGGCTAATGGCATACTGGACTGCATTGGTAGGTGCGTTACCAGTAGGTCAAGGGAGGTGATTACAGTATTCCCCTCTATTCAGCACTGCAGA